CCTGGTCTTCTGAAACCAATGGCTGGTGGCCTCCGACCCGGTGGCTGGACCTGCGCTTTGCAGCAAGGCTTCAACAAGTTAACAAGACGCAGTCAAGAACACACAAATGTGGAAATGTTCGGAGTATGCCTTCCATTCGCCAAGGAGCGGGCGCTTTGCCTTTACGACAGCCTGCCTGCAGCTTTGCTGCAAGTCGGCCCCGCATAGGACTCAACGCGACCAAGGGCACCCCTCATACTGGCAGCATCTAGCACCGCCAGTTGCAAGGGAACGCCAAGATGGCAACAGCAATGGGCTCATCTCAGGTCCTACTTTCCAACGGTGGCAAGAAAGTCTGGAGGGACGTTGGAGGTGCAACTTGCATATCGATTCAACGGTCTGTCTGGACATCGCGCTCCATTGTGGGACCCTGAAGGCCTTGATCTGCAAGGCGGAGTGGGATCTTGGAGAGCTCGTTCGCTGCGTGAAGTAATGTTGCGCCCGGTTTAATGTCGCCACCCGCTTTGAAGGGAAGGCTCTAAGCAATCAGTCGGGACCCGCCTGTGACTAGTGAATGGTTATCCGCAAATATGGGAGGTTCGTCGCCCGGGAATGACGGGTGTAAAAGAAGGCTGGAAAGCTTCGACCCTCAAACTTCAAGGCTTGGTGGAACTTCAAACTCCGAAATTTTCTGGAGTCCGGCTTTCTATAAATTCCTTGCAAATTTTCATTAATGTTGGACTCGCTTGAGTACGCAGGGGCTCCCCCCCTCCCCCTTAAATAATTTTGGGGTTTCGGGGATCCTGAATGGTGTGGGCTGGGGCTGGGACGGGGCTGGGGGTAGGGCGGCTAGGGGTCGAGGGTTGAGGGGAAGCCTTGAAGCTTGAGGGTCTAAGCTTTCCAGGCTTTGTAGCTCCACGGTCGCCGGGGCTCCGCATAAATGCGGACCACCGAAACAACTTGCTAAAGCGAATCAGGGCAGCTCGTGGGCTACTCCCTTGGAAAATTGTTTGGGGGCCTGTTTCGTAATGAAATTTTAAAACAAATTTAGATAAGGCTGGACACCAACAAATTCCGGAGTTTCTTATTCAAAACTGTTTTTAGTTTTTGGCTCCCCGGCCCCCCGCCCTTCAACCCCGGCCGGCAAACATCGCATAATTGAGGACCACCCTAAACAATGGGGGGTCCCCTATAGGATTTCCGGAACATCGCATAATAGTGCCCCTTCTCACTAAAGCCAGTCCAACATTACTGTGCGAAACAAGCACCCAAACAGTGTTCCAAGGGAGTAGCCCACGAGCTGCCCTCGTGCTCTTTAGCAGTATTGTTTCGGTTACGCGCATGAATCCGCAGGCCGCCCGGCCAGGGAGCCAAAAAGCCTGAAAAGCTTTGATTAGACCCTCAAGCTTCAAGGCTTGGCCCGATTCCCCTGAACCCTCGACCCGCCCTACGCCCAGCCCCCGTTCCCGTTGAGGGTGAGCGAGAACCCCCGAAGTTGTTTGGGTGGGGGTGGGGGGCCCAGTGGGGGGGCTCAAGCGAGTGCAACATGCTGAGTCGTGCTGCAGGCCTGGGTGAGGGCTGCCATGGTGCGCCTCTGCACCGAAGCAAGGCAGAAAGCCAGGACAGCTGCGAGGCTCTCTGCGAGGCAGCGTAGTTCACTAGTTCACGGCGCGTGCTTCCCGCTCTATTATCGTCTTTTCCTGACTTTGCCTGCTCCAGAAAACAGCTGGCTGCAACTATGCCTTCTTTGGCCAGCGAAGCTCATGTCGAATTAGGCAGAGCACAGGTGCAAAATCAGTTGAAAGCATGTGTGTGTTTGTGTGTGTGTGTGTGTGTGTGACTTGCGGTCAAGCTGCAAGCCAAGGTGAGATGGAGGAGGCCGGTGACACGTTTAATTGCATCCTCTACTCATCCTGTCCTGTGGTCGACGAGGAGGACGGTGTTTGCAATCGCTTGGTCGCCTTGTCCACGCTCTGCAGTTTTGCTATTTTGATCTATTTTGTTACATCCAAATCACATGGAGAGATTACATCCCATGGGGAGATTTATCCAAAGCATGGGCCTCAGAGACTCGGAACGTTGGCTTGGCAATTCCCCGCCTCTCCGGACAGGAGACAGAGAGACTTTTTCGCCAAGTGACCTGCGGCGAGGCCGCTAGTTTGCATAGCCTAGGGAGTGGACTCTTCAGCTCTCCGGAAGAGTCTGGAAGGACTTGTCGCTCTGCGGCAAAGAAGTCTCCTGCCCTTCTGCAAATGAAGATGCAAGGCGCTTCCGGACCCCTATCCGCACAGCGCTCTCCGCGACGTCTTTGTGAGGCTTCGGTTCGCCTAGAATAAGTTGATTTGCCGTTTCGCTCCTGTGTTTTCCTGCGCCTTCTGTTGACGGCTGGGAGCTCCGGAGAGCACGACAAGCGCGCCCTGCATCTGGTCACTGTTTCTGTGCCTTTGACGATGTGGAGGCCGCACACTCCCGGCACCCCCGAAGCTGACTGGCACAATTGCCGTGATGCGTGCTTGAATGC